GCAGGATCAGAGAAAAGTTAAGGAATAATTTTGACAATATTCTAATTGAAGCTCTGAACCAGACATGTCAAGCTTCGTTTGTGTTGCATTGATCATACATAAGGCAACTCAAAGGGCTTAAGCAAACAAGAATAACATCATTTATATCATACAAAGCAGTAAAATTATAATTAAATTACAGTCCATTATAAACCAAGCCTGAACGAGAATCTTCTGAATGTTGCAGTTGTATCATGCATCGTACAATGTAAACATTTATGGGAACTGTCACTTCTGTTTCTATGCGTTGGTTGTTTTTTATTTGAAATCTCCAAAAAATGACTTTCATAAAATTCCTTCACGGTGACAACGCTAAATCGAATTACCTTTTCAAATCCTTATGTACAACTTCCCTGGTGTATTAAAACCCAAAATTAGGTCTGTATCTCAAACAGTTCCCCTGCTGGAAGAGAAATGCCATTCCACCCAAACTGCATCTGCCAAACAGGTGACACGCAAACAATTAAAATAGGTCTGGGTCTAGGTCTAGGACTCAGTATCCAGACCAGACAGACCAAAACATCCAGGAGCAGTGATTTGGCTCTCAGACTAATAACTGGGTTTGAGTCTGGATATGTGTCTGGATCTTTGTGGTCTGGGTCTGGGTCCACACAGCAGAAAGTGATGACAAATAAGTCAAAAATGGCAATAATTTGAGCACATTTTAACTGAGCCAATTAGACAAAGCAAAAGGATCTTGTTTAAAAAATGGGGATTGAGAAAAAAGAAGCAAAAGTTCTTGAAATATTAATAAATGGCTTTGTCCCTTTTGAGAATCTTCTTTTAACACAGTCAGAATGTGTCAGATTAAGCTAAAAACCTCTTGATTTACGCAATTATCACCTCATATGTTTTCCCTTTTTGCAGTGTGGGTCTGTACACCTGTCTGGGTCTGGATCTTTGTGGTCTGGGTCTTGGTCTAAGTCTAGGTATCCAGACCCAGAGACAAACCCAACATCCCAGAGCAGTGTGTTCTGGCTCTCGGACTAACAACCGCTCTCTAGAAACACAAAAATAGAAAAGAATAGAAGTAAAATCGTATATTCTATAACTTTGTCAGGCTTTCTCAGCTTAATGACTTTCTGAGGCCCAGTTAATGAGACTGATTCACATTTAATTGCTCCATTACACATTTCGGTTCATTTTTGTTGATTTATCATCAAATTATTTTAGCGAGTTCCAGCCTATTACAAAATAATTGGATAATGAACACGATCTCCAAAGACCGGTCCGTACGCCGGGGTTAACAGACGCTGTATCAATTAGTCTGCTCAGTCCTGCAGGGCCCACAAAGGCTCCCTCTGCTTTCCTCTGTGATTAAGTCGACCTATTTCTACTTAAAATAATGTGTCCTGTCCAGACTCTCGGAGCGGAGAAACACTGTTGAATTTCACACAATGCTTTAAAGTCCAATTAAACAGATTTTCTTTGTCAAGCCAACAGCTCCAATCTAATCTCTGCAGCCGTTTGCGAACACATTCATTACCACGAGAAGTCCAGAACCTCTTCCTGTTGACCTCTCCTGACTTTATCTTGGTACCTACGAGCTGCCCTGATCCGGACCCGTGACCCAGAAGCACTTGGGGGTGGGTCTAGGTCTAGGTTTGTGTCTTGGTCTAGCTCTAGGTCAGGGTCTAGGTCTAGCTCTATGTCAAGGTTAAGGTTAAGGTCTAGGTTTGTGTCCAGGGTCTGGGTTTGTGTCTAGGTCTAGCTCAAGGGCAGGCTCAAAGTTAAGGTCTAGGTCTAGGTTTGTGTCTAGGTCTGATCTGTGTCTAGTTCTGGCTCTAGGTCAGGGTCAAGGTTAAGGTCTAGGTCTGTGTCTTCTCAATTCTTTTCTGCCAGGCACCTCTTAGGAAGAAGAAAAGGTTTAACGGGTCTAGGATCTGTGTCTAGATCTGCGTTGGGAGCTGAATCAGGGTCTAGCTCCAAGTCTGGGTCTAGGTCTGAGTCAAGGTCTGTGTCTAGATCAGTGTCTAGGTCCAAGTGTGGGTCTAGGTCTGGATCATACATAATTTAAAGTTGTAGATCCAGGACTCTAAAGTAATCCAACAACTAACAAGCAGAAAAATCACCTTTTGTTCCACATGTCACATGGAAACCATTTCATCTCCGGTCTATCATTTGCACACGTCCGTCTACATCTAAGTTCCCCAATCCACGTTTGAAGTCTTGGAAGGATTTTCAGAGAGAATAAAACACATTTAAAAAACATTCATCTCAACAATATCCCCGTCGAGTAAGCGTCATCCAGCCTCCTCCAGCCTCCTCCACACCTGTTAGATCTCCGAGCCCTAAGTTTTCTATTGTCACCCAATGTTATTATTCTGACCTTTAAATAGAACACAGCGAGCATCATTACATTTAGGTCACAGTGGAGGTCTGTGTGTTTTCTGTACAACACCAGAGAGATAAAAGAAACGGCAAGAATACAGGCGCGGTAATTGGGACTGTGGAGCCGGAGAGAGCCCGCCCACTTCCTGGTTCCGGAAGTTTCTCGTGTTAAAGGAAAAATAGATATTGTTGTAAAAGTCGGAGAGAGTGTGGTGAGTAATGGCTTTACCCTTGCGCCTTTTAATTCCTTGCGTTAAAGGTATATAAGGGGATTGGTCCTCCCAGTTGTTAATCATTCTGGGGATACGTGCTCGTCAAAAACCACCAGAGAACTTTTTCAACAAGTGGAGAGGGCGGTTCTTCCCAAAAATCCTCCCATATACAGTTCCTTTAAGATAAAGATTCAATTTTGGACATCCTATATTTGTTCCATCCATCCATTTCCTTCCCCTTAATCCATTTCTGGGTTGGGGGGGTGGCAGTCAGAGCTACACCCAGTACACAGAGCTCCAGCCCCTCCCTGATCCTCCTGCAGGTGCTGAGTCCACAGGAGCCTTAATTTTCCAGCGGGGTGCTTCAGGGGTTAAGTGTTTTACCCAAAGACAGAACGACAGCAGACATCAGTGGGAGTCATGAAGTGGGTCTCTTGATGGGCTTCAACCCACGACCTTGAGGCTCAAAGGCCAATGCTCTACCAACCCCATATATATTTGTTCCATGCTGGGGAAATGTCAGTGTTGTCAGTGTATCAACGGTTACATAAGAATAACTTAACTAAAACAAAAGAAAATTTATGATTTTAGCATAATAAAGAAGCAAGTCTAAAATCTTAAGACGCATCTTTTCTTTTTTATTAGTTTTGGATTTTTAATTGTACAAATATATATTTTTTGTGTGTTTATATTGTTGCTATTTTTTCAGTTTAGTTTCAAAGAAGACTGAAAATATCTATTATGATTGATTTTTTTATTGATTGACTAAGACCTACATTTACATCGCAGAATTGTATGATTGAATTGTGCTTTTTGGGATAAAACCAAACATGAATTTTTCCATAATTGTTTAGTTGTTTACTGTCTCATATTTTCAGGAAGAATAATCCATATTTTAGTCTCCTCAGAGTCCTAGGAGGCCAGTCCCTGTGCTCCTCAGAGTCCCAGTTTCTTCACACACCAACACGTCACAGATGTACATTGGTTCAAGACCAGGGAGAGTACATTTGTATCCATTTTGACACTAAACAAAAGTCTACAGCTGATTGCTCTGATGGTCACGGCTCAGAAAAATCCAGTTGTGCTTTTTCTCCAAATCCCCTTTTCTGCCTCTGACCCGTCATTACCGCCGTCTGGATTGGCTTGATTTTGGAAAGTGCGTGGACGGGGGCTGTCCTCGGCGTGGCGCGCTGGATCCCAAGCCAAGCCATTTGACGCTGGAGTATTTGAAGATTCGCAGGAGGGGGCTGCTTGAAAATCCCCCACTGTGGCGCTGCTCTTTAAACTTTCTTAGCATGGGACAGAGATGGAATAAATTTGGCTTCTGCCGTTGGACTCAAGCTCATTAGATCGCTCGCTTGTTATGTTGGGACACACCAAAAACATGACCCAGTTTTTTGGGTCCACTCATAACGGAAGAAAGTACGGGTTTTTTTCATACTTCCTTGAAATTATACAGTAAGTTGAAGAGTCATTGCTGCCAACTCGGTAAGTGCCGAGACTTTTAATTGGCTTTTGATCAACACATAACTTCAAAAAAAGAGCAGGATTGTAATTTTTTATTTATTTTCAAAGTTAGACATTTGCATTTCAGATGCTCCCTTAGTTTACCACACAGGGAGACCAGGCTATTAACTGATGGCATGGTTTAAGTACATCCACATGTTTTTAAAGTGCTAGTTGTTACGGCCGCTGGCGCTGGGCCGCGTCGTACACCCGCTTCCCTCCCTCCTGTGTTGTGCTGCTGTTCTGCTCAGGCTCCGCCCCGCTGCATGGTGCACCGGCTACGCACGCTGCCTCCCAGTTCTGCCTTCCGTTCGGAGATTGGGTCGCGCTTTCCACGTCTGGCCAATCCATCGCTGCGGCTAATCAGCACCAGCCTTGAAAACGAGTCTGCTCCTTCTGTGCGGGGCGGCTTGAATCAGTGTCTTGTCTGCCACCGTTCTGAGAGAACGTGTTGTCTGTGTGCGCTAAAGATTAAGCTTAAGGTTGCCTGTGTGGCTCTGTGCTTGTGTTTATTTGAGAACCCTGTGTTTTTGTGTGTTTTATTTGACTCTGACGCTGTCCAGTACAAACTGTTACCCCTTTTGCCTGTTTTATTAAAAGGCCATCTAATTTACCATTATTACATCCTTGGTTTTATGTTACTTCCCTCTTCCCCTACGAGCTCAACGGTAGGGTCGTAACATATTTGGGGGCTCGTCCGGGATCTACACGTTCCCGGCATTAGGTGGCCGAATCAAATTTATTAGGTAAGTGGGGGGGTAAGCTGTATTGTATTTGGACATTGGGAGAATGGCAACCGCTTTCAATTTACAGGCATTCTTGCTTCATCCCTCGGCCGAAGCACTTGAGCGCTGTAAAAAGAAGGATCTATTTGAGGTTGCCGATCATTTTGAGATTTTGTATTCCCGTCAGAGCAGCAAGGCCGAACTCAAGGTGCTGCTCCTGGATGGTTTGGTGGAGAGGGGCTTGCGTTTGATCCCAGAGGCTGAGAGGTCTGATGAGAGCATCGTGCATGCGACTACCCCGAGACGTACGGAGACGCCTGCGGATGGCCCTCCCGGAGCGGAGCGTGAGTTTGTAGAGGGCGATGCGCGGCCTGAACCACCGCGCACTCCTCCTCGCTACGGGCCGCCCTCCCCAGCTCCTTCCTCTCCCGGCTCAGTTGGTGGTGCTCGGCGCGCTTTGCGGCTGGCACGCATCAAGATGGAGGCCGAGCAGAAGGATCGGGACCGCAGTGCCGAGCTCGAACTGCATATACGGAGGCTTGAGATCGAGGCTGACAAAGCTGTGCGCCTCAGACGCCTTGAGCTGGAGGCCGAAGGCCGCCTCCCCAGTCCTACTCAACGCCCGGGCGTCGCTGCACCTGCCACAGCCCTCTCCCCAGCTGTTCATGACTCTCTTGACGTGAGTAAAATGATACAAATTGTGCCTACATTTAGGGAGAGTGAGGTTGATTCGTATTTTTCTGCTTTTGAGAGAATCGCGATGGCGTTAAATTGGCCTCGTGAAGTTTGGCCTATCCTTGTGCAGTGTAAAGTGTACGGTAAAGCACAAGAGATAATCGCTGCGATGCCTCTTGCTGAGAGCCTGCAGTATGATGCAGTCAAGAGAGCAGTCTTACGCGCGTATGAGTTAGTGCCTGAGGCCTACAGACAGTCTTTTAGAAATCTCCGTAAAGCCCCGAGTCAAACGTGTGTTGAGTTCGCACGGGAAAAAGGAAATCTGTTTGACAAATGGTGTGCCTCTGCGAAGGCCCAAGATTTCGATTCTTTGCGTGAATTAATGTTGTTAGAAGACTTTAAGAACAACCTGCCTGCGCGTGTGGTTGTGTATTTGAATGAGCAAAAGGTTAAAACTATTTCTGAGGCTTCTGTGTTAGCAGATGAGTTTGTGTTGACTCATAAGAACTTTTCGTCATCTTCTGTTAATGAGACGCGTGTGTCTGTGCAGCCTGATCGTCCACGCTCTCCTGGAACCTCCACAAGGGACAGAGTCTGCTTCTACTGCCGCGAGCCCGGACACGTAATCGCAGACTGCCCTACTCTCAGACAAAAGGAAGAGTGTTCAGCTCCAAACGTTCAGAGCATTGGGTTAATTCAATCTGTAAGTCATAAGTCAGGACCCAATACTGTCCAAAATCACGGCTCCTGTTTTGAGCCTTTCATATCACAGGGCCTAGTATCACTGAATGGCGAAGCACCAGATCAACGCCCCATCCGTATCCTACGAGACACTGGCGGTTCCCAGAGCTTGATTTTGGCCAGTGCTCTCCCGTTTTCATACCGCTCTTACTGTGGTTACAGGAGTGTGTTACGGGGAGTTGAGATGGGCTACCGCCCGCGGCCCGTTCACTCTGTTCATGTCCAGTCAAACCTCGTTACAGGAAAGTTTCCGTTAGCTGTTGTCCCTGCGCTACCCATTGAAAATGTAGACATGATTTTATGTAATGATTTGGCAGGGGGCATGGTGTTTCCTCCCCTGTTGGAGGCGGTTCTGTCCCCGCTTGTGTGTGCCTCTGATCGTCAGATGCCCACGGGTTGTGCTGTGGCGCACACCCGTCCTCCAGAACAGTGCGGTTGTAGTCTGCCCGCCAGTCCAGTGAAACCACGAGTACCGCCGCACTTTACTCCACCCGCCACTTCTGTACGGAAGCACAAGGCTAGGGCCACCAGGCTTGGGTCAGGCGAGCGGCACTTTCAGCACCATGGAGAGCGTTTTGGCTCTCGCTCTGCAAGTTTCAGTTCGCGGCCTTGATCTGTGTGTTCCTTTGAGGGATTCGCCACGAGAGAGGCAAAGTCTGTGATTCTGTGTTCGGGTGAGTAATTCACAAATTTGCTCTGATTTTACTTTGAGATGGCTTGTATTTTAAGGGGGGGAGTGTTACGGCCGCTGGCGCTGGGCCGCGTCGTACACCCGCTTCCCTCCCTCCTGTGTTGTGCTGCTGTTCTGCTCAGGCTCCGCCCCGCTGCATGGTGCACCGGCTACGCACGCTGCCTCCCAGTTCTGCCTTCCGTTCGGAGATTGGGTCGCGCTTTCCACGTCTGGCCAATCCATCGCTGCGGCTAATCAGCACCAGCCTTGAAAACGAGTCTGCTCCTTCTGTGCGGGGCGGCTTGAATCAGTGTCTTGTCTGCCACCGTTCTGAGAGAACGTGTTGTCTGTGTGCGCTAAAGATTAAGCTTAAGGTTGCCTGTGTGGCTCTGTGCTTGTGTTTATTTGAGAACCCTGTGTTTTTGTGTGTTTTATTTGACTCTGACGCTGTCCAGTACAAACTGTTACCCCTTTTGCCTGTTTTATTAAAAGGCCATCTAATTTACCATTATTACATCCTTGGTTTTATGTTACTTCCCTCTTCCCCTACGAGCTCAACGGTAGGGTCGTAACACTAGTATAATTTGTCGCATGGAGAGATTTGACCCGAGTCACTCTTACACTGCACTTCAAGGGGCTTTAAATCAAAAGCAACTACATTACTCGTCTGGGAGCCTCCTAAGTCCTGCACTAAGTCCTGCACTAAGTCCTGGATCTACAGCCTCAGTCCTGCACTAAGTCCTGTATCTACAGCCTCAGTCCTGCACTAAGTCCTGTATCTACAGCCTCAGTCCTGCACTAAGTCCTGGATCTACAGCATCAGTCCTGCACTAAGTCCTGGATCTACAGCCTCAGTCCTGCACTAAGTCCTGTATCTACAGCCTCAGTCCTGCACTAAGTCCTGTATCTACAGCCTCAGTCCTGCACTAAGTCCTGGATCTACAGCCTCAGTCCTGCACTAAGTCCTGGATCTACAGCCTCAGTCCTGCACTAAGTCCTGGATCTACAGCCTCAGTCCTGCACTAAGTCCTGGAGCTACAGCCTCAGTCCTGCACTAAGTCCTGGATCTACAGCCTCAGTCCTGCACTAAGTCCTGGAGCTACAGCCTCAGTCCTGCACTAAGTCCTGTATCTACAGCCTCAGTCCTGCACTAAGTCCTGGATCTACAGCCTCAGTCCTGCACTAAGTCCTGGATCTACAGCCTCAGTCCTGCACTAAGTCCTGGATCTACAGCCTCAGTCCTGCACTAAGTCCTGGATCTACAGCCTCAGTCCTGCACTAAGTCCTGGATCTACAGCCTCAGTCCTGCACTAAGTCCTAGATCTACAGCCTCAGTCCTGCACTAAGTCCTGGATCTACAGCCTCAGTCCTGCACTAAGTCCTGTATCTACAGCCTCAGTCCTGAACTAAGTCCTGGATCCGTCCGTTCCTCTCTCAGCTTGAGCCTCGCCAAGATCAGTTTTTTTCTCACTGAGTTTTTGAGTGGTTCCTTGCCAATACAGGATATAAGGACAGTGATATCCGGGGTATTTCACAATTCTCCCAAAATGTTTAAACTACTAGAACTCCCAGTGCCAACATTTTGACTGCTCCGATTCAAACCAATGGCATTCTGAGAAATTCCCCCAAAGAATGTTTAGTTTTCACAACATGCAATTACAGTCATTTATTAGTGTTTTTTTAACCATTACTCACGTTTAATAAAACGTGTTGCTATGGTAAATGGCCCATGATATTCTCTTGTGGTGAAATAGTTAAAGATAGAACCACTCACATTTCAAAAGAAAAAGATAATTTCAGTTACTGTATATAAAAGTAGTACATTATGTAAAGATACAGAAAAAGTCAAAGTTATGAAGACCAAGAACGTACCATGAGATGAGTAATTACACTTCCAAAACTAAAAGCCATCAAATTGACTAATGAGTTATCTGGAGTACGAATGTTAAGGTTATTTATGGACCTTTCTTAACATTTATGGACAGGGGTCGTCCCATTCCCTACGGACCAACGGCTCCAGTGTGTTTGTTATTATAGAATTTAATAATGTCTTGGCAAATCGACAACTTTGTAAAGTCCTCCGAGGCGACTGCTGTTGGGATTTGGGGCAACAGATAGAAGTCAGGTTAGACTTTTAGATAGAAGTCAGGTTAGACTTTTAGATAGAAGTCAGGTTAGACTTTTAGATAGAAGTCAGGTTAGACTTTTAGATAGAAGTCAGGTTAGACTTTTAGAAATAAGTCGGTTAGACTTTTAGAAAGAAGTCAGGTTAGACTTTTAGAAAGAAGTCAGGTTAGACTTTTAGAAAGAAGTCAGGTTAGACTTTTAGAAAGAAGTCAGGTTAGACTTTTAGAAAGAAGTCAGGTTAGACTTTTAGATAGAAGTCAGGTTAGACTTTGAGATAGAAGTCAGGTTAGACTTTTAGATAGAAGTCAGGTTAGACTTTTTGATAGAAGTCAGGTTAGACTTTTAGAAATAAGTCGGTTAGACTTTTAGAAAGAAGTCAGGTTAGACTTTTAGAAAGAAGTCAGGTTAGACTTTTAGAAAGAAGTCAGGTTAGACTTTTAGATAGAAGTCAGGTTAGACTTTTAGAAAGAAGTCAGGTTAGACTTTTAGATAGAAGTCAGGTTAGACTTTTAGATAGAAGTCAGGTTAGACTTTTAGATAGAAGTCAGGTTAGACTTTTAGAAAGGAGTAAGGTTAGACTTTTAGAAAGAAGTCAGCAGGTTAGACTTTTAGAAAGAAGTCAGCAGGTTAGACTTTTAGATAGAAGTCAGGTTAGACTTTTAGAAAGAAGTCAGGTTAGACTTTTAGAAATAAGTCAGGTTAGACTTTTAGATATCAGTCAGGTTAGACTTTTAGATAGCAGTCAGGTTAGACTTTTAGATAGAAGTCAGGTTAGACTTTTAGAAAGAAGTCAGGTTAGACTTTTAGATAGAAGTCAGGTTAGACTTTTAGAAATAAGTCAGGTTAGACTTTTAGAAAGAAGTCAGGTTAGACTTTTAGATAGAAGTCGTCAGGTTAGACTTTTAGATAGAAGTCAGCAGGTTAGACTTTTAGATAGAAGTCAGCAGGTTAGACTTTTAGATAGAAGTCAGCAGGTTAGACTTTTAGAAAGAAGTCAGGTTAGACTTTGAGATAGAAGTCAGGTTAGACTTTGAGATAGAAGTCAGGTTAGACTTTTAGATAGAAGTCAGGTTAGACTTTTAGATAGAAGTCAGGTTAGACTTTTAGATAGCAGTCAGGTTAGACTTTTAGAAATAAGTCAGGTTAGACTTTGAGATAGAAGTCAGGTTAGACTTTGAGATAGAAGTCAGGTTAGACTTTGAGATAGAAGTCAGGTTAGACTTTGAGATAGAAGTCAGGTTAGACTTTGAGATAGAAGTCAGGTTAGACTTTTAGATAGAAGTCAGGTTAGACTTTTAGATAGAAGTCAGCTTAGACTTTTAGAAAGAAGTCAGGTTAGACTTTTAGAAAGAAGTCAGGTTAGACTTTTAGAAAGAAGTCAGGTTAGACTTTTAGAAAGAAGTCAGGTTAGACTTTTAGAAAGAAGTCAGGTTAGACTTTTAGAAATAAGTCAGGTTAGACTTTTAGATAGAAGTCAGGTTAGACTTTGAGATAGAAGTCAGGTTAGACTTTTAGATAGAAGTCAGGTTAGACTTTTAGATAGAAGTCAGGTTAGACTTTTAGAAATAAGTCAGGTTAGACTTTTAGAAAGAAGTCAGGTTAGACTTTTAGATAGAAGTCAGGTTAGACTTTTAGATAGAAGTCAGCAGGTTAGACTTTTAGATAGAAGTCAGGTTAGACTTTTAGAAAGAAGTAAGGTTAGACTTTTAGAAAGAAGTCAGCAGGTTAGACTTTTAGAAAGAAGTCAGCAGGTTAGACTTTTAGATAGAAGTCAGGTTAGACTTTTAGATAGAAGTCAGGTTAGACTTTTAGAAAGAAGTCAGGTTAGACTTTTAGAAATAAGTCAGGTTAGACTTTTAGATAGAAGTCAGGTTAGACTTTTAGATAGCAGTCAGGTTAGACTTTTAGATAGAAGTCAGCTTAGACTTTTAGAAAGAAGTCAGGTTAGACTTTTAGAAAGAAGTCAGGTTAGACTTTTAGAAAGAAGTCAGGTTAGACTTTTAGAAAGAAGTCAGGTTAGACTTTTAGAAAGAAGTCAGGTTAGACTTTTAGAAAGAAGTCAGGTTAGACTTTTAGAAAGTCAGGTTAGACTTTTAGATAGAAGTCAGGTTAGACTTTGAGATAGAAGTCAGGTTAGACTTTTAGATAGAAGTCAGGTTAGACTTTTAGATAGAAGTCAGGTTAGACTTTTAGATAGAAGTCAGGTTAGACTTTTAGAAATAAGTCAGGTTAGACTTTTAGAAAGAAGTCAGGTTAGACTTTTAGATAGAAGTCAGGTTAGACTTTTAGATAGAAGTCAGCAGGTTAGACTTTTAGATAGAAGTCAGGTTAGACTTTTAGATAGAAGTCAGCTTAGACTTTTAGAAAGAAGTCAGGTTAGACTTTTAGAAAGAAGTCAGGTTAGACTTTTAGAAAGAAGTCAGGTTAGACTTTTAGAAAGAAGTCAGGTTAGACTTTTAGAAAGAAGTCAGGTTAGACTTTTAGATAGAAGTCAGGTTAGACTTTTAGATAGAAGTCAGGTTAGACTTTTAGAAAGAAGTCAGGTTAGACTTTTAGAAATAAGTCAGGTTAGACTTTTAGATAGAAGTCAGGTTAGACTTTTAGATAGAAGTCAGGTTAGACTTTTAGATAGAAGTCAGGTTAGACTTTTAGAAATAAGTCAGGTTAGACTTTTAGAAAGAAGTCAGGTTAGACTTTTAGATAGAAGTCAGGTTAGACTTTTAGATAGAAGTCAGCAGGTTAGACTTTTAGATAGAAGTCAGGTTAGACTTTTAGAAAGAAGTAAGGTTAGACTTTTAGAAAGAAGTCAGCAGGTT